CGACATGGCCCCTGGGAGTAGTTAGCTTGGAGGTGCAAGCTGGCACCAAGAAAATAAAAACTGAGTTCACAGTAATTGACACTCCCTCTCCTTACAATGCTATCCGGGGAAGGCCATGGCTGCATGCAATGGGGGCTGTTCCTTTAACATTGCATCAGTTGTTGCGATTCCCAACAGAGCATGGAATTGAGGAGGTCAGAGGGGACCAAGTGCAGGCAAATAATTGCTCCATGGTAGCAATGAAATCCACCTGTAACATACGAGAAGCAGAACCGGCAGAGATTGAGGATGAGGATATGGAAGTCCTGGAGGACGTCGGCAAAAAGCCAGCAGAGAAGAGTGAGGAAGTCCTAAAGAAAGTCCTTGTCGAGCAAGGGGATAAGGAGCGTTACTTCTTTCTCGGTTCGGGCTTGACCGAGGAAGATGAAAAAGAGCTAGAGGCATTCTTGAGAGCAAACCTTGAGGTGTTTGCCTGGACACCGTATGAGATGCCTAACATTGACCCCAAGATCACTTGTCATTGATTGAATGTGGATAGGTCAGCTAAACCTGTCATCCAGTAAGTAAGAAGGCCGACGTTAATGAATGTCAAGGGAGTAGAAGAGGAAGTGGATAAACTTCTGGAGGCCAGGGCCATTTGTGAGGTAAATTACCTAACATGGTTATCAAATACGGTGGTTGTGAAGAAAAAGAATGGGAAGTGGGGTCTGTGTGGACTTCACCAACCTGAACAATGCTTGTTCCAAAGACAGTTTTCCATTACCCAAGATTGACCAGTTGCTGGATGTCACTTCAGGGCATGGAAGGATGAGCTTCCTGGATGCATACAGGGGGTACCATCAGATAGCTATGTACCCCCCAGATGAAGAGAAGACTGCATTTATCACTCTAAAAGGGTTGTATTGTTACAGAATGATGCCGTTTGGGTTGAAAAATGCAGGAACAACTTACCAAAGATTGGTAACTAAGATGTTCAGGCATCTAATAGGCAGAACAATGGAGATATACATAGATGACATGATCGTGAAGACCAAGGAACCTAAAAATCATCTGGCCGACCTAAAGGTAGTTTTTAACATCCTTAGAACATATCAGCTCCGACTCAATGCATCGAAGTGCGCATTTGGAGTCGAGTCTGGTAAGTTCTTAGGATACTTAGTTACCAGAAAGGGCATTGAGGCTAGCCCTGATCAAATCAAGGCCATTTTGGAGTTGGAGAGCCCAACATCGGCAAAGCAAGTGCAGATGTTGACTGGAAGGGCTGCAGCCCTGAATAGATTCATAAGCAGAAGCTCTGACAAATGTAAACCTTTTTTCAGTTTAGTGAAGAAAGCCACAGACTTCTTATGAACAGAAGAATGCGAAGTTGCGTTGGATGACTTGAAGAAATATTTAACCCCAGCTCCAGTTCTCTCAAATCCAGTACCATGAGAGGAGCTGTTCTTGTACTTGGCAGTTTCAGAACATACAGTGAGTGCAGTAGTAATCAGAGAAGAAAAGAGAGAGCAAATGACAGTTTACTACGTGAGTAAGACCCTAGCGGATGCAAAGACCAGATATCTACCATTGGAGAAGTTAACACTGGCTTTAGTAATGGCCTCCAAGAAGCTGAATCATTACTTTCAAGCCCACAAAATCGTGGTGTTAACTAAGCATCCCTTGAAATTCCTGTTGCAGCAGGGAGATCTGACAGGCAGAATAGCCAGATGGACAGTGGTGTTGGGCCAATATGACCTAGAATTCAGACCCAGAACAGCAATCAAAGGCCAAATTTTGGCTGACTTCGTGGCCGAGTTCACACTAGGCACCATCACACATCGGGCTCCGTTGAGCCGAGGTGAACAAGGAGAAACCCAGATGGGGATAGCCAAATAGAGGAAAGAAGAGAAACTCAGGACATGCAATATTTACATCTGCGACTCCTTCCGACAGTTTGTTGATGGGAGTTTAAACCGACAAGGAGCGGGGGTAGGAGTAGTTCTAGTATCACCAGATGGGTAGGTACTAGAACAATCCATTCGTTTGGGGTTTAGAGCCTCAAACAATGAAGCAGAGTATGAAGCATTGATCGCAGGGTTAAAGTTGGCAGTAGCAATGGAAACTGACGAGGTAATAGTTTTCTGTGACTCCCAGCTTATCGTCAACCAGGCAACATGCGAATACGCAGCCCGAGATGAAAGGATGTCGGCCTATGTAAAAGAGGTGGGCAGACTAGTGGCCTTATTCCAGAATTGCCGACTATAGCAGGTTAGCCGAGATGACAACAGCCATACTGATGCTCTGGCCAACCTGGCTAGTGCAATGAAACCTGGAGAGGCAAGGACGATAACGGTGGACTACTTGTCAAGTCCAAGCATAGAACCATTGAACACAGAGCATGAAACAATGTGTGTGAAGATGGGACCAAACTGGATGGATGCAATAATAGCATTCCTTAAAGAGGAAAAACTGCCAGATGATCATAAAAAAGCACACAAGATCAGACTGAAGTCGGCAAGATTCAGTCTGACACGAGAGGGGCATCTCTACAGAAGGTCTTTTATTGGTCCCCTTTTGAGGTGTGTGCATCCTTCACTTGTTGAAGACTTCTTGTATGAGATACATGAAGGAGAATGTGGAAGCCACACTAGGGGCAGGTCACTTGCTCACAGGGCCATTACTCAGGGGTACTGGTGGCCTTATATGCAAAAAGATGCTGAAGTCTATGTCAGAAAGTGTGAGAAGTGCCAAAGGTTTGCACATTTGATACATCAATCGGCAGCGGACTTGAACCTAGTGTCCAGCCTTTGGCCATTTGCTCAATGGGACATGGATCTTGTTGGACAACTGCCTTAAGCAACTGGACAAAGGAAGTACCTGCTAGTAGCAACAGATTACTTCACAAAGTGGGTGGAAGTTGAACCCCTCACAAAGATTCAAGATGTTGATGTGAAAAATTTCACATGGAAAAATATCATCACCAGGTTTTGGATCCAAGAGCAATAATAGCAGACAATGGCACACAGTTTGACAGTAAGCTAATTAAGAGCTTCTGTGCAAAATATAAGATCAAGAATTATTACTCTACTCCAAGCTTTCCCCAGAGTAATGGTCAAGCAGAAGCATCCAACAAAGTCATCTTGGATGAGATCAAAAAGAGGCTGGAAGCAGTAAAGGGAAAATGGATGGATGAGTTGTCCAGTGTACTTTGGGCATATCGGACTATGCCGAGAAGATCAACTGGGGAATTCCTATTTGCCATGGGCTTTGGCACAGAGGCAGTAATCTCACTGGAGGTCGGCATCCTAGGGATCAGAACACAGGGAGTAGAAAAATGGGACCAATGAGGCATTCTTGGCCTGAGATCTGGATCTGCTAGAAGAAAGAAGGGAGAAAGCAGCACCTTAAATTAAGGTGTATATTATAGAATTTCCCATCATATATAAAGGGAAATCTTACTGTACACACCATTTAAAAGAAGTGTACCAAGTAGCATCTAATTTTTGAACAATTATATTAATGAATGACACTTGAGAAAATATTGTTTAACAAATATTTTACATTTGGTTTAGTTTTGAAATTAGTTTTAGATTTTAAGTTTTTAAAAGGGTTTTGAAAATTGAAAACTTATTTGGTTATGACTTTTTGAAAATAGTTTTTAGAAAATTGAATTCAAAACTTGTTTAGTTATGAGTTTACAAAATTAGTTTTTGAGTTTTTTTGTCTTGTAGTCAAATCTTTTTTGCAATATTATAGTTAAATTTCTTTACTTCTTTCATGTACATAATCTAAATGTTTTTTCTAGATGCATCTAATATAATCTATGCAATTTTGTTGTACACTGTATTTTTTATTTTTTATGAATGTTTTAAAAATTTTAACACTTCTTTTTTAGTTTTATATCCACTCAATCTATATACATTTAAAGCGTTTCACATTTATGAAAAACTTTTACTATAACATTATTGAATAATGACAAATTTAAAAAAAAATAATAAAATAAAATTCACCCAGTTTAAAAACTAATATAATTTTAATGTTTTATATATTTATTAAATTTATTTTTTGATTTATTTACTGTTTAAGTATATCTACATTATATAAAACATAAAAAGGAAAACAGAGTAAGAGTAACAGAAGGTTGGGTTTCTGAGTAGTTGAGGTTTATGGGCTTGGTCAATTGGGTTTGAAAACAATTTTTTGCGAAAACCTCAACCAAATAAGTTTTGGATTTCAAAACTTGAATTTGAAAAGAATTTTGAAATATATATTGTGAAAATCCAAAACCAAATAGGTTTTGAGTTTTAAGTTTTGAAAAAATAATTTAAAAACTCAACCAGGCGAAGCCTCTGTTTGGGAAGTGGGTTGATTTTTTGACTTTTTGATTTTTTTGGCTATTTTAGCCTGGGCTAAAAAGCTTAGGGTTGGTTTGGGATGTCCTAAAAAAGTGTACTTTTTGACTTATTGGTGGGTTTGGGTTGGGTTTGGATTGGGTTTGATGTGATGTGTTAGAGAGGTGATGTGATTTAAATAAGATGATGTGACTTAAATAAGATAGTGACTTTTTGACTTTTTGGCTTATTTAGTACATGCCAAACTAGCCCTTAGTTTGAGAAGGATTTTTTGACTTTTTTTGTGAGAGAAGAGTATAATGATTATGAATTAGATGTGATGTTTTGTTTTTTGTGGCTAAAATAGTCTATTTTATTTTTTGTGATTAAAATAACAAAAAAAAACCACTTTAATTCTTTCCAAACGGACCCGAAATAGGTTTGCTAAGTGCATCGAATCAAAACATCAAATCAATAAAAGACGTATAATTGGATTTGCGATCAAGCTAAAAAATTCACATATTTATTTATTTTTTTACTTTTAGTGATTTAAAAAAAAATCTTGACAAATTTTTTAGGGCCTTGAGTCTAAAAATCTAATTTTAAACTTTTTTTTTTTGGTCTTAACAGTCCACGCATTAAATTATTTTGTCTATAAAGACGTTGCTATCAAAAGACCAAACTATTCACTCTCCATACGCGTGCCTTCCCTACTTACCTATAACTCCTCAGATTGCTCATCAATACACATTCTCTCTAGAAACCAGCAGCTTCACACCCTTTCTCTCTACATCTACATACTTCTCTCTCTCTCTCTCTCTCGAGCTTTGCTATCAATGGCTCGTACCAAGCAAATAGCACGCAAGTCCACCGGAGGCAAGGCTCCAAGGAAGCAATTCGCCACCAAGGCCAATAGGAGGTCGGCATCGGCCGCCAAAGGAGTGAAGAAGCCCTACCGCTTTCGTTCCGGCACGGTGATGCTTCGCGAGATCAGGAAGTACCAGATGAGTATAGAGCTCCTGATCCGAAAGCTTCCATTCCAGAGGCTCGTGCGTGAGATCGCACAGGACTTCATGACCGATATAAGTTTCCAGAATAGTGTCGTTACGGTACTCCAAGAGGCGGCAGAGGTGTTTGAACAGCTTGAAACTTCGCTGGTGATGCTCCTGGAACCTGCGTGAAAACAGATTTGGCGCCTCTCTCCCTTCTCCGACTTCGTCAAGCTCCAGATTCGAAGTCCATCACGATCTCGAAGAATTCAATGCCTTGGATTCGACGATGTAAGGGCATCATTCCGTGCCTTTGCTTTGAGTTTTCTGAATTAAATTTTTAAAAAATTTAATTTTTTAATTTTTTTTTGTTTTTAATGATTATTTTAAAATATTTTAAACATTTTTTTTATTTTTTTTAGATGTATCTTACATAGATGTATCTAAAAAGTAAAAAAATGTGAAAAAATATTTAAAAAAATTAAGAAATATATAAAAATATAAGAAATATATTGAATTATTGTATTTTTTTTTTATATTTTTGGTATTTAATGAATTTTTAAAAGATTTTTTTTACAATTTTTTTATTTTTTAAGTGTATTTATGTTAAGTGTATCTAAAAATTAAAAAATTTGCATAAAATATAAAAAAAAATCGATAAAAACAAAAAAAATACAAAAAATAAGAAAGTAAAATTTTTTAAAAACTGTTTTTAGAAAAATAGAACCAAACATAGCCATTACTTTTTTTCCACTACCTTTGAGTAAAAACTCTCCAATTGAGAGGTCATACGGGGTATCGACCGCCCAGCGTAAAATTTTATGAGACACCTAGTGGCAAAAATAAAATGATAACGAATAGTAATTTGATGAAAGACACAGAGCGTCTTCAGTTTGGTAAAACATTTTGGATACTCTTAATTTGATATCTGTTTGATGAAATTATTGGAGTACAAAAAAATGTACTTTTTCACCAAATTTGAATTTGGTGATAGATTTGGAGATGGCCTAACGAGTTGAATCAAATTTAATTTTTGCCATTATTATTATTGTTGTGGTATTGTGGACTATTTTATTTAAATTGGTGAGAACAAATTATATTAGTTCTTGATTTCCACTTTATAAGGCCCGTTTGACATTTTTTTTTTGAATTGTAATTATTCTTGGGTTTTGAGTATTAAATGAGATATAAATTTAATTTTTGAGACTTATTTGATTAGACCATAGTTAATCATTTTTGTTCATATTTAATTATGTAAATGATGGGGACTACTTTAAATCTATTTAAATTATTTTATTCTTTAATCTCAGGTCGATATTTATTCTAAATTATTAAACTTATTCATTTTGAACTCAATTGATGAATTATGACTCATTCGTAACCATATATTGTTATTGTTATTATTATTATTATTTGCTTTATAATCTTGAGAGAGTTATAAATATTGGGTAAATTACACTTTGCACCCTTGTACTTTTCATCAAATTCTACTTTGGCCCCTACACATCAAATTGTTACACTTAACCCTCTGCACTTTTGGTTAAGTGTAACTTTGGCCCTACTGTTAGCCTTATTGTTAATAGAGATTAGTCATATGAAAAATATGTGAAGATAAATTACACTTTGCACCCTTGCACTTTACACAAAATCTCACTTTAATCCCTACACATCAAAATTGTGACACTTAACCCCATAAAGGATAACTTCTGTTAGCCTCACTATTAACAGGAAGGCTAATGTGACACTTGACTAAAAGTGCAGAGGTTAAGTGTCACAATTTGATGTGTAGGGACTAAAGTGAGATTTTGTGTAAAGTGCAGGGGTGCAAAGTGTGATTTACCCATAAATATTTATGATATGTATTATCAAACAAAATATATTTTGTGATGAAATATGTTAGGGTCAATCACACTTTGCCCTCCTTAAAGTTTCACCTATTTCTCACTTTGACCTTTTAAGTTTGATTTTTTCCCACTTTGACCCTTCATGTTTGAAATTTTTCTCACTTTGGCCCTTTAAGTTTGATTTTTTTCCTATTTGGCCCTTCATATTTACAATCATTTTCACTTTAGCCCTTCATATTTGCAATCTTTTCTACTTTACTCCTAAATTAAAATAAAAAATAGAAAACAAAAAAATTGAAATTTTTTTTAGTCTTTAGTAAACATTTTTTTTTTCTTTCAAATTTATTCATAAATATTATTACATTATAAATGCATCTACATTAGATGCACCTAAAAAAATAAAAATAGAAATTTTTACTAAAGACGAAAAAAATTGAAAATATACTGAGTCAAACACCTGTATTGCCAATCCTAAAATGAAAAGTTTACTATCGTTTTTTCGTCTTTAGTGAATTTTTTTTAATTAAATTTGTTTTTATTTTTTTAAGTGCATCTGAGTTAGATGCATCTATAATGTAATAATGTTTATGAATAAATTTGAAAAAAAATTCACTGAAGACTAAAAAAAAATTCAGTCTTTTTGTTTCTATTTTTTATTTTTTGCATCTTTAATGAATTTTTTACATCACATATGGAGCTGATGTGTTGATGATGTGGCAAATTTTGTTAATTTTTTAGATGGAAGTTAGTGTAGGAGTAAAATGAGAAAGATTGTAAACATGAAAGGCTAAAGTGAGAAAAATCAAATTTAAATGGTCAAAATGGGAATGATCACAAATATGAAGGATCAAAATGAAAAAAATCGCAAATATGAAAGACTAAAGTAAAAAAAATTAAACTTAAAAGACTAAAGTGAGAAATGAATAAAACTTTAGAGGAGCAAAATATAATTTACCCAAAAATATATCATTTATCATTTATGTTACAAATATTATGATAGTATTAAAATATATTTTTATATAATAATAATTTTGAGTAGAGCAGCCATGTGGGGCCACCGCCCTTCCCCTACCATTCATTTCTTTCTTCCTTTCTTTTGAAACAAGAGACGCCCCTCTCTCTCTCTGCACTGTCTCTACTCTCCTTCAGCTCTCTCTCTCTCTCTACTCCCTTATTTCTCTCATCTCTCTCTAAACACTATCATAATTTTTTTTTTTGTTTTTTTTTTGTTTCTTGATCTAGTAAAATCTATATATTTTTGGCCATAGTTCTTAAGATTAAATTGATGAGCATCTCGAGAAGAGTATTTTGTCTAGTGGAGATTGAAATTCAACGATATCAAATTTTGAGATTTTCATTCATTTTCTCTCCTAAGCTTTGAGATAGGAATTTTCTAAACATTGTGTATATGATATTTGAAAAGATTAGGGTTTTATTAATGGTATATTAAATGCATAAAAAGGGAGAAGTTCTCAACCTTTTGAAATTTTCTTGTTAGTTGAGTGTAATTTTTGTATGACTCGTGAATTTTGAGGAATGCATTTTTTTTTTTAAAATGAGAAATCTCCAAATTATTGTAAAACTCTAGAAATTTAAAATGTTAAGATTTTGCTTTGTGAAAAACTTATAAGTGTTAAAAATACATGTTTATTTGAACAAATGAGAATTTGAAAATGGATACTCAAAGGGATGGGATTGATGAAAATGTTGTTGGGAATATTGGAAACTATAGAGGTTCCTTTCGGAAAATTGTTTAATTTGAAAATATTAAACTCTTGAGAAAGATAAAAAAAACATTTATCATGTTAAGATATTGAGAAATGTTGAAAGAAACATATGTTAGTTTTAGCATTATGAAAATTCTTGGTAAATTCTTGAGTTTAAATAAAAAAGAAGAGTTGATGAAATTTTTGGAAGAATATTACGATTCTTGATTGAGCTGAGAAAGAGGAGATTGAACTATGTTGCAATTATTGAAAATGAGATTATGAGTTATATTTGTCTCTTAAAATTTATATTTTGTATAGAGATAATTGTTTGAGCAATCGGTGAGGGGTTGCATTGATTGTTGTAGAAATCGCATGTGAATTAGATAAATTGAATTATTTACAAATTTATACATAACATTGAACATTGCATGATCTCATGATTTAATTCTCGTATTGAATTTGAGAAATTGATTTTGAAATTGGTTCATTGAGAATATTTGAAATGTGTTGAGTCATGGGATAAATACCTTGGTGAATCCGGTTAGGGGGTGTAGAGTTGAGAATTAAGTTGGCTTGAAGTCCATAGTGAAAGTCTGAAAACAAGCGTGGAATAGGTACTATGTGCCATCTGATCAGGAGTCGATAAAGTGGTTTTGGTAGTGCTTTGAGAGCCTACTTGCAAACACTAGTCTAGGGATTACCAATGTCGTATTTACCGTCCATTGTTTTGTCAAATGAATGATTGAATTGGTTATACTTTTGAACAAGTGCATAGCATAAGAATTTCAAAATGAGAAAACCTATGATTTTTGACATTGGCATCTCATATGCATTGTATCTATGATATTGTTAAACTGCATGCACTTTATTTTGATTATCTCTGCTGGGCTTTCAGTTCATCCCTTAGTGGAAACCATTTTTAGGTGATTGCGATGTGTCTCTGCTGAAATGAAGGCAAGGAAGATCTTTTAGAGCATGAAGCTCGATTTTTATTTGTTTTCTTTTGTAAACCAAGGGCTATTTGTGTTTGGGAGTGAACATCACTTTTGTGTAACCGGGCAAGGCCTTGGAACTTGTAGTCAATAGGGCATTATTTTGTACTTAGCTTGTTTTAAATTTCTATCATCACATGCTATGGATTCATATTTTTGAAATAGTGAACGTATGAATTTGTGTGATTTCTTTTATAAATCTCACTAGAAAGTCATGAATAGAAAAGAAGGGAGATTTGGCCCTTACATTAATAAATGGAATATTTATTATTCTCTCTCATATTAATGATGAAATAATTGAGAATCAGATCATGTTATGAGTTAAATTGGGTTTATTGAATGTATATATTTTTGGGGTGTTATAGACGACGACCTTTCTTACTTCTAACCAAACCTTCATCGCCAGAAAAAATGGACCCTCTATCGATGGTTATTCAAAGCTTAAGTCGAGAGAAGCTTCAAGAGTAAAATGGCGATGGCAGTGGCACATCAGCATAAAAAGAGTAGCAATGGCGACGTCAACATGCATCTCGATGTCGAAAAATATGTCAGGTACACTAGCTAGCAGGTGGAAGCCTTGGAAAGGGTTTATGCCGAGTGTCCGAAGCCAAGCTCGTTGTGTTGGCAGCAATTGATCTGCAAATGTTTCATTTTATCTAACATCAAACCCAAGCAAATCAAAGTCTAGTTTCAAAATCGCAGTTAAAGAAGAGGCCTTGATGCAAAAACTTATTTGGTTTAAGTGT